CTGCAGGATTTTTATTTTTTATTTTTTAAACTTTTTTCTTTTCTTTCCCACCTTCCAGCCTTGGTGATGATCATTTCAGTTCCCACTTCGTCAAATTTGCTCCACAGCTCCCTGTCATGCAGGAGAACTTTGATGGCCTCCATCCCCTGCAGCGGAGCACAAACACGGTGATTCAACTCCCAAAATAAGCCGCAGTCAMCAGGCTACATGCACTGCGTTGAAAATCTGGATTTAAAAAAAAGGGGGGCGATTTGGTCTAAAAGTAGTGAATAATTTCCATGCACTGAGTTTGACCTCAGTAGTTTGAAATCAAATYATGAAATGTTTCAGCGTGAACGTGCCTAGATGAGCAGTGTGTGTAAATAAATAAATAAAAGTTGAAAAGTCAAATAAATGATTAATGTATGCGTCCTGATCCACAGCTGAACATGCCTGCTGACTGGAAGCTGAAGCAGCAGATTTAAAGGTGAAGCTGGGAGTTTCCTCTTTGGTCTCTTTCGGGGGGTCCATGCAGTCCGAGTCAGGGCGTTCTGCAAGGCCGAACTGGTCCCCTCCGTTTGCCATGTCCCACTGAGGAGACACACACCTTAAAATAGTCATGTAATRAGGTGTAAAGCACGCTGAAAATAAAGTTTAGACCACTTTTATTGCATCTTATTTGACACCAAATATCAGGGATTTAAGTWTCTCAACCTAATAAACTCAGCTCCACGCATAACTTTATATATATATATTTAGCTATATTTGGGGTGAAAAAACTAAAACTGCACAAAAACACTGAGATTTGACGATTATTGTAGATTAAATTTATGGATGTCACATCATCACAGAGGATGATCAGGTTTCACCTAAAAATGAGATTAAACTAAACTACTGAAAAGTCTGCAACATATTTGATATTTATCACTAAAATCTAATCGAATAGCGTTGTGTGAAGATTTTAAATCTCATGGCGTCATAATAATCTTAAAAATAAAGTTATGACATTATTGAGAATCGGACATTTTTAAATTTTAATTTCACCTCAAAGCGCCCCTCTCCAAGCGGAGAACACGCTCATCCTTCTCCTCCAGGAGCCGCTGAGAGCCGCTTGTGTTTCCGATCGATTCTAAAACGCAGCCGTCCTAACGTCGCGCCGTCGGCTCCCCGAAAATCCACAAAGCCCATCCGTGGCTCCGCTGTCCGCCTCCCCACGCGAGCGCCGCCGCCGCCGCCGCCGCCGCCGCCGCGTCTCCTGTTCTCCAGCTCCGGTCAGAGCTTCATCGTTTGCTCCTCTCCCTCCAGGAGAGGCAAACAGCAGCAGCCCTGATCTGAGACCCCCTCTCCAAGCKCCTTCATCACAAATGGAGTCTAGTCCGCCTCACACTTCCTGCCCTCCCCACCGCGCTGCTCTGCCATAGGTCTGAGCCGTGATCTTATTTCGTGGCCAAAATCGTGGCCATGACGCACGCGGGCAGGCGCCCACAAGCAGTGAAAAAAAAAAAAAAAAAAGGTGGGGGGGATACACTCAGTGTTTATTTTTATTAAAACACTTGTGCGCATTCTCGCCCTGGCATCAACCTGTCTTTGTCTGTTTTACCTCAAACGCTCAAAAATGTGTTAAAAATAATCTGACTGAAAATAAAGCTGATTTGGAGATTTATTAAGCAGCTAAATCAACATAATAATGATAAAACGCAAGCAGGGCAGTTACTACATCYCACGCACGTACGTACACACTGCCCCCTCCCCCTCCGGGAGGTCTCAGATCTGTTGATAGTAGTAGATTATAGATTCTGCCAGGAAGCAGCAGCAACATCCGCTTCACGCGCGCGCGCGTCYGTGTGACTGGATTACGGCAGATCCTGATCACCGGAGGCATCCAGASTTGAGAGTTGAAACGGTGACCGCGGGGTCACGCCGGGGTCCCTCCGTCACACGCATCTTCACAGACGCGGCGCAAACGCGTCTCCTTTTCTCGGTTTTCGCTTTGTTTAAAGCAGCAGYAAGGGAAACCATCAAAGCTGTGATGCTGCAAACATCACCAGATCAGATCTGGAATCCACGCCTTGACCCACTGGCTGATAACACTGTAAAAAATTTCTAAATATATAATCAATACCGTGTCGCTTGAGGAGGATCGTTGTGCGTAAAATGTGCCATTTACGCACAGGATCGTCTCGCCTTGTCGTGCGCCCTGATTGTTTCTGACGCCGACTTTGGTTTTTCAGTCAGAACTGCATCACTTATCGAGCTGAAAATTTCAGAACCCTGCTGTTCAACCTCCGGTACCGCTGCTGCTCACCGAGCGCGCGCGCGCCACAGCTCCTAGAACTACCCGATCTGCTGGGTGCCCTGCTCGAAGCAGGCATTTCAAGTTTTCTTTTTATTGTTAGGAGTCATTTTGGGTTTTGTTGAAGAGGGAGAAAACATGAACAGCTACACAAAATATAACTCTTTGAATCAAAGCATGATGAGAAAAAAAGAATGACGCAAATAAAGTTACAGCTATTTTTTCATTTGTTTAAAAAAGTTTATATGGATTTTTGTTTGATGTATTAATCTTCTGTTCAACTAAAACACGTTGTATTTTTTTGCCGGTATAGAAATAACTTTTGCGTTTATAAAAGCCATAGAACAAAAACAGAACAATTATCGTTCTTATTTTTGAAACTTATTTGAAAAATGTGTTTTTAGGACTTATGCATCTTTAAACTTTAGTTTTAATCTAATATTTAGTTTAGTTATTTTCTCTAAATAAACCAAATGTTCCCAAAATGTCACCACGGGATACAAGAAATAACTTTTGCGTTTATAAAAGCCATAGAA